TTTTTGAAACTCACAAAAGGACATTTAAAAATTAAAAAATATGAGTATTTTGTTTTTAGGCCCAAAAAAACTAGAAAGTCAAGGGTACACTACTGCTGACTCCGTGTTTTCCATATCCTTGGGCATTTTTCTTGTTTTTCTTTTCAATGGATTCAATTTAACCTAATCAAAATCCCGAAAGCTAGCTTGCCCTCGTTCACGCGCTTTTATCGCCGTTGCCGATCAGCCCAACCCATTTCTCCAAGCAGGTTCTTGAAACAGGTATGGTTAATCGTTCAAAAAATTAATCATTTTTTTTTCTTGTTTATTTCTCATTCTATGTGTTGTACTGAGATTTATTTCATCTGGGCTTGTTTTGCAGCTGATTTTTCAGAATCCCATTTGGTTTTTACGGATTGGGGTTTGTGTGAATAGGTGTGGGCTTTTTGTACATATCCGTATACATAAATACAATGGGGGCAGTTTGTTCAGCAGGAACTGTAAAGAAAAGTAGGAAACCAACCGATTCGGAGCAGGAGAAAAGCTCAGGTTTTTCTGGGAAGCTGAAATCAATTGGGAGTTTTGGGAGGCATAAGAAGAGTGACGATCCTTACACATATACTGATGAAATCGATGTTTTCCGGAAGGAGAATTTGTACGATTCCGGCGAGCTGCACCTCTCGATTTCGCGGGAGTTGAAGGCATCAACGCCGATGAGAACACCTGCTAACAAGGTATATATATATATATATATGTAAATATCTGTAGTAATGTAAAACGTAATATTTGATCTTTTGGCCTGTTGTGTTCATGAAATCGGATTAACCGTGACTGATTTTGCGATTTGTTTGTGGGGAAAGAAAAAAAAAGAGTTCGATATGTAGAGATTAGATGTTTGCCGGGTTGAATTTTCAGCGAGTCGCTAATTCTACAAATAGGCTGTGGACTTGATTTTGGGTCGAGCCAACTATAGATTATGAATATTTGGTCTATATTGCTAGTGATTGTTTGGCAAAATTAGATTTTAGTGCAGATATCAGTTTGTTGTTTTAATGATAGTTTTATATTACGAGAAAGGAGGGAGCTTGTGCAGATCCTAATTATCACGGTGGATGCCAATAATAAATTATAGTCCACGCCTAATCTGGTTTGTTCTATTCCATGCTTCTCGTGCAGATTAGC